TCAGGATAATACATAGATCCAGTGAAGGTTGACAATGTGAGAGTTTTTAGATCTTCACTCAGAGAGCCGTATTGACGTTGAAGTTGGAAAGGCATATCAGACCTGTTGTAAGCAATTAGAATAAGTCAGGAATGTGATGGAACACTCCCCATTTGTGGGGATGGGTACAACTCCTGTAACATTCAAGAAGCTTAACACCATCCAGGAAAAGCAGCCTACTTGAATGGCACTACATCCTCAAGTATCCATTTCCTCTATAACCGACGATCAGTATCAGCAGTGTGTACTATCTAAAGATGCACTACAGAAATTCAGCAAAGATCCTTAGATGGCACTTTCCAAACCCATAACCACTTCCACCTAGAAGACACGGGCAGCAGATACATGAGAACACCACCACTTGCAAGCTCCCCTCCTAGCCACTCACCATCCTGAATTGGAAATATATGGCTGTTCCTTCATTGTCACTGGGTCAAAATCCTGGAATTCCCTCTTGAAGGGCATTGTGGGTCAACCTACCACAGAGATGGACTGCAGTGGTTCAAGAAGGCAGCTCATCACCACCTTCTCAAGGGCAACTAGGGACAGGCAATAAATAAATGCCAGTCAGCGATGCCCATGTCCCATAAGCAAACTAAAAAACAGGCTGATGTTTGGACTGCATCACATTCTGCCAGTTTCCTGAGTACATCTCCTGTCAAATGTGTAAAAGAATGATATTTAAATTTGCACTGGTCTCAGTCTTGGCATTTAGTGCAAGTTCTCCATGCCTTTTGGATGGAGGTAGAAGCATCAACTTTCCTGATAGTGTTCATGCAGTGTGTAAACTGACATTGCAGATATCTTTTTAATGAAACTTTGGAAATGTCTTTGACATTGTTCCTTAGTTGACGGTTCTTAACATGTTGCTGTGGAGCTTGATGTTACAGTGCGGGTTTGTTAGGTCGATTTTATTTCATACGCGTTTTAACCCAATATCCTCTTGTAGAACATAGCTCACATATTTCATAAAATACTGGACATTTGTGAGATAAGCCATATCTCATAAGATTTGGATGTTTTACTGACCCCTTTAATAGCAGCTAGAGTTGTTGTAGATTGAAGAGCCAGTAGATGTTGCTGATCAGCTACAATTGTTTTGAAATTGCATCCTCCTTCTAGTGGTGCATCGTTGGTAGATTCTTTGTTGGTCTAGAATTGCCTTTCTCAAGGATTTAATAAATATAGAGGTGTGTATCAGGTTCGTAAGCCTTTCAGTTAAGTTAATTTTGGTGAAATTGCATTCCATATCCGTTCATCAACATCAAACAATGAATTGGTCACTTGTTTCACCAGTTGTTGAGACTGTGTGAACACAAACTTCAGTATGTTGAAGTTGACTTGAACTTTAAATTGATCTTCAAAAATCTTGAAAATATTAACTTTGCATCCATCATTAGAAATGCTGGACGATTTGATTCCTCTTGATCTTTAGTTTCTGAAAGCATTATGAAATTTGTTTGCTTGCCTGTGTTTGTCAGCTATTTTTTCACCTAAGAAGTAAGGACTTATTCTTTAGAGAGTTGAGGTTCTGGCAGAATGTCAGTGGAGTGCCAATCCCTGCTCTAATGTTTGCTTTCCATCTTTACTGTGCTCTTTAAAGTGCCAATATAAGAATTTGTATTGGTTTTTTTTTTCAGTTTTTAAAAATTGTTACATTATGTGCTTGGTCTCATTTTTTAACCTTCCTTGTGACACCTTAAAAGTAACAGGCTTGTGCCTGTAGATGCCGTTTATGAAAAAATGATGTCTCGCACACATTTTTTGCACTGTTCCTGAACAGCAAGATCATGAAATCAACCAATATCTGAAAACAAGCCCTTTTAAATATATACTTTTTTTTAAACATTTTCTTCTGTTTTTCTCCAGGAGCACCTTGGTAGTCTGGCATTGTCCTTCAACAGCTTTTGTAATTCTTGTTCTTTTAAAATTCAAGTCAGCTGTGGCCAGTCTTTTCTTTTAGAGTACTTTGTTTTTAGAGAGACAGTACTGTTAAGTGTTAAGTGTTATATATTATAGCTGTGCTTCAATATAAGGTGCTCTTTCACCTTGGTTATTAACTTAAGCCATGAACTCAGGTACCTGATGAAAAATGACTGCTAATGAAATTAAACCCAACTTTTAATGCTGACTTGATATCACCATGATGTGGTTTCTTAGGTCAAACACCACCATTGTTGGTATGATATTCTGAGTGCTGCCATGTGCATTAATTAGCTCATGTCACACTTACCACAAAGATCAAGTTCTTGTTGAGATAGATGTCTTGAAGCTTACAAGCAGCATTAATTGTTTACTTTGTTTTAATATCTCAACTTATTTTGTGCTTATTGATTTTGCTGTATACTGCGAACACATTACACTGACTTCATTGCATTGAGTGTGACTGAAAGCAAGGCAACTATCTTTATACTGAAATGTCACATGTCATGATGTCATATAACTGTCTTAAAAGTACATTGATTGCCTGTTCTGAATCTGTTCCACTGTACTACAGTTTTGCCGTAGGAGTGGTGGTTCCCCACTTGTATGCAGGGCATCTGGATTGAGATGCCTCCCTTCCAATAGGCCATTAATAACAGCCTGCCACTATTAGCATACTGCCCATGCCGGTCACGTTTTGGTTCAGGCAGTGTATTATTCAGATCAGTCAGCTTGCCACTGAACTTAAATTATCTGTAACTGTTTGTTTATTGGCAGGTGGGCAGCTGATTTTGCCAGCCAACCTACTCCCATACAATGAAGGTGAGTTCAGGTGTAGCACTTGACACTATGAGCGCCCGTGCCCGTTCTCCCCACCCCACCCCACCCCCCACCCCCTTAAAAATCATGCCCGGTGGATCACAAAAGGTCTAGCTCATCACCTCATAACAGAAGAAAAACATAGCTTATCAAGCCAGATTTGAAAAGACAACCTAACTGAAAGGACGGAACCATGTCCATCATGAGTCACAAAGCAATGAAGATGAGATTTGAATATTACTCGCTCTGTATGTTCATTTTTGGACCAGTTCATGCAATGAGAAGAGATTTGAATCTCTGAAATATTTCAGTCCAGCCACTGGGTCTGGAGAAGTTCACTTTCAGAAAACACAGTATTTCATCATGATTGTAATCTGTTTTTTCTTTGTTACTGTATAATATGATGGTGGAGCCACTCTGGAAGTAAGGAACATTGTGCTTACAGGAGTGACTAGCGCTACTTAACCGGACAGTAAGCCTGAGGCAGACCTAAAGGTTTGTAAAGGAACATTATTCCCTAAGAGCGGATGTTCATTTGGAATGAACTTCAGTAGATTTTAACAGAATTTTAAGAGAGTCCAATTTTACTGTAAACTCACTGATTTATTATCATTTAATGTTATTTAAATATAGTCTGTTGGCTATGGGGACAACATGAATGGAATATCTCTAAGTTATTCATTTGTGTTAGCAAGGTAGCAATTGGAATTGGAACATATAGGAAACAATAGGCCATGCAAAAGCTGAGGTGCCCTTAAGGTGCACACTTGCATGGCTGCGCAACGGGGGACTGCACAGTGCAGCAATTTGGTCATACATGCTGAAAAGACATAGGAAGCTACCTAGTGGAATCTTAAAATATTATTTGTTTTGTGGTTGTCTGTGGTTTTGGATTTGTAATTAAATAAGTTTAGTGGTTTTGCTGGCTTACTACTTTCTTATTGGTTGTGGTGGGGCTCCTAGCTGTCTCGTACTAATTGAGCAAGTCAGCGTGATTAACTTAAAAATTGTTGTTCTTTCAACAAATTAATAAAACATGATAAAGTAACAAGGGTCACTGGACCCAAAATGTTAATTCTGCTTTCTCTCTACAGATGCTGCCAGACCTGCTAAATTTCTCCATCAATTTCTGGGAGTTTCTTCAGTAATAAAACATGATGGTTGCTTTGTGAGGCAACAGGAACCCTGGGCATGCCATATATAGTTGAAGTCGAATTGGTTCTAAATATGAAGCAGTGAATTATGCAGGCTTTTTCCTTGCCAATAATTTGCATTATAATCCAAAGGGACCATAGATGGCTGCCTCACTTGGACCACTGCACCATTTTAAGATGTATATTGTCAATTTAGGCAATTGTGTTTGTAGTGCTCCTTGTGTAGCAACTAGTATATTCCACTTCTGTTTTCTAGATTTCTGTCTTTCTTAAAATTCTCTCTGTATATGCGCAAGTCTTTTTGTGTATAAATATTTTTCAGGATACTAAGAAAAACCATCCAAACAAAATGTTTACAGATTTCTTGTGTCGATGTTAAAGATCCTGCAAGAGTTATAGCTAGATCAGAGTTCAAGCATTTTTGGTACATACAACACAGCATCCTAATTTCCCAGGGCAGGCAATGTGACTGCAACAATCTTTAAGAACTTGCCATACTTCTGAGGTTAGAAATCATAAAACACTCTCCTTTTTATGGTGCCATTACACTAAAGAAATTCATTCGCTATCCATGCATTCACTAGTCAACCTCTATCTTGGATCATCCACTAACATTACTATGCACTACAGAGGACGAGAGACAATTGCACACTGAGCTGGATGGTAAAAAAGCAGCAAAGATATATTTAATCCCAGACAGCAATGAACAAATTAACAATCAAGTTTAACAGTGTTCTAAGATGTATATGTAACAACCCAAAATTTCTCTTAAGAAATAAGGGAAAAGGCCACAGTACAATTGATTCTGATACATAGCGAACACCTTCAGTCTTAGTTACAATAATCTCTGCCATTTGCAGTGTCAGTCCAACAAAAAGTAAGAGACATGTATTGCTGTGGGAAAGGAGTAGCGTCCTTTAGACTGTTTCAGGTTAATTGTTTGCTTTTGTTTGTTTTAAATGTTGACTTGTTTACTATAGAAGAACCACATTGCAATGAAGAATACAGATGGAAATACAGCTAATGTTGTACAGTAATTCAGTATTAACTTTTTCTTTTGTCCAGGCAAGTATGCAATGCGGGATCTTGTGCATCGTCTTCCAGGAGGTTCAACGCTAATAATGCTTTCTGATGACACTGTTGCTGCTGTTTGTTGTGCTTTACATGAGGTTACTATTAAGAATATGGAAAATGCTAAAGCTTTAGCTGATGCTGGAGGAGTCGAGAAACTTGTAAACATTACAAGGGGGAAGGGTGAAAGGCAAGTATTCAACTGAAAAAGATTGTGATAAATATTGCATTTTGTATCATCCTCTATATCTTTTGTACACTATGGTTATGTATAGCCAAACTGAGCTACGAATTACATGCTTTTCTTGGCCTTTCACTCTTAATGAGTTGTCTTTCTGTAGCCCATGGTGAAATTTTTTTTGTCTCCTTTTTGAAGACTGTTGCCTACAATTGTGCATTAACCTTATTTTTTTATTTAATTATAACCTGTTGGCCTAAGAGCTGTTAGTACAATTTTGATTCAAAAAGGTGAAATATACTTGACCATTTCCACTCGTTTTTCTGGGACGATGGTACCAAGTTTTAAACTACAGATTGTGCGAAGCACAAACGACCCAACAGCCAATACAGCTGATTTTAAGTTTCTGAACTGGCAGTTGTCCTCTCTCCTGGAAAGATGAAGGATGCTCAAACAGGAATTGTGCAAGGTTGTAAAACATTTCCCTACCATTGAAAATCTACCACCCTGACATTAGTCAGGTTAATAAATGCCTCAGAGTCAAGGCTTTCAATGGCAAGAAATTAATGTTGCCTTCTCAAACTGAAGTTGTCTATAATCATTTTGTCCCTTGCCAGTACACCCAGGGACTGAATAGACACAACAGCTATCAAGAATGCGACAAAAAAGTCTTCACGATGATTTAACATTAAGATGGGTTGCCAACCTGAAACGTTAGCTCTTTCTCTTCACATGCTGCCTGGCGAGCTGAATATTTGACACTTTTTATACTTCTGTTATGGGTCCTGACAAGTCGTAAATGGCAGCAGATATATTACCCCGCACTTACTAGCAGAAAATATGGGCGCAATGACTATGATCTAATGGTGTCAAACAACATGCTGGGTTAGGACAGCTGTAATATGCCCAATAACAAATGAGACACCATTCCTTGAGTGTCTGTAAAACTTCATGAGAAAAGTATAGGAGGTGCAGTCTAGAAATGTGGTTGAATGGGACAGAGAATTAAATGCCAAATGACTAGAAGCAAAAGGTCACTCTTGGAAACTAAACTGAAGTAATAAACCATAAATAGGAACAGGAATGGGCTGTATGGCCTTTCAATCAATCTGGCAGACAAATGCTGCATATCTTTACTGAGGTTTTACTCTGAAATGATTGTCAGAATTGGGTTAACATACTGTTTTAGAGGCTTATCTACCCAATTTTAATTTTCATGATATTTTACATTTTGTTTGGTATTTCTTCAAGGTATTCCCTGAAAGTAGTTAAAGCAGCAGCTCAAGTTTTAAACACATTATGGCAATATCGTGACCTTCGCAGCATTTACAAAAAGGTAATTTACAATAACGTAAAGAAGCATTGTTTTCAATTGAAGTCAATAATCTAATCATTATATTTTTTCCCCACCTGACCATCTTGTATTTGCAGGATGGTTGGAATCAAAGCCATTTCATTACACCAATTTCTACTCTGGAACGTGACAGACACAAATTCTCTACATCCCACCCATCCTTATCAACAAACAATCAGAATATGTCACCTGTTCTTCATTCTGGTGAGTAGCTTGTGGTTGCGTAAAGAAAATGAATGTTGTAACTTGAACTGCTACTCTACGGGTGTGAAAGTAATGGAAATATTTCGTAACCGAGGTGCCAACCTAGTGAAGCTGCATCACAGAGCTGCAGTTCACAATTTAGATTTACTTTGACTTAGAATCAAAAATACAATTTATAAATTTGCAAACAATTCCAGTTTGTAGCCGAATGATTGGTAAATCAGTACTGAAGAAAATTGCAATGAGTTTCAGGAAAATGATAATTGACAAACAAATACAGTTCAACAAATATGAGCCAATATTTAGTAGGAAGATTTAAGTAAGTCACTTATAGTGCAAGTCTAGGTGGGGTAGAGGAACAAAGGAATCCACAAGTATAAATACTAGAAGTTGCACCAAAAGTTAGCAAGGCTGAAGATTTTATTTGAAACAAAAACTAACCAGATGCTAGATTTTATTTCCAGAGGGAAATAATTTGAAAAGTTAGAAAATTATGCTGAATGTACATCAGGTTTTAGTTAGACCACCCTTGGAGTAATGCATGTGATTTAAATCACTGCAAAATGAAAAGGATTTATTTATTCTTTCATGGAATGAGGGCATTGTTAGGAAAGCTAGCATTCATTTCCCCCATTCCTAAATGCCCTTGAAATGAATGGCTTACTAGCTCATTACAGGGATGGTCATGAATCAGCCACATAGATGTGGGCCAGATTCATATTTAGGCCAGACTGGGTAAGTATGATAGATTTCCTCACATAAATGACATTAGCAAACCAGATTGATTTTTGTAAACAAAAATTCATGATAGTTTCATGGTCAGCATTACTGAGGCTGACTTTCAATTCCAGATTTTAGTAATTGAATTTAAATTTCACCAGGAGCCACCTAGAATTTGAGGCCGTGTCCTGAGAGGAATAACTTGGGCCTCTGGAGTACAGGTTCACTAATATTGCTACTAAACTTCAGTCCCATTAGAGAGAGTACAGACTACCTTTTCAAAGAATAATACCTGAAACACATAGGTATATGTATTAGGAAAGTATTGGCAGGCTGGTTATCTTTTCCCAGTTTTAAAAATCAGGCTGAGGGGTGATATGATAGAAATTTTTTAAATCATGAAAGATTTACATAGAAACATGGAAGATAGGTGTAATATGGGCCATTCGACCCCTCAAGCCTGCTCCGTCATTCATGGCTGATCATTGAGTTTAGTTCCCTAGTCCTGCCCTTCCCCATATCTTTTGATTCCTTTAGCCATAGAGCCACATCTACTTTCTCCTTGAAAGCACATGACATTTTGGCCTCAACCACTTTCTGTGGCAGTGAATTCTACAGGCTGACCACTCTCAGGGCGACGAAATTTCTCCTCATCTCAGTCCCAAAAGGTTTAGCCCTTATCTCTAAACTGATCCCTTACCCTTAAACACCCTTCCTGCTTCTAACCTATCTACCTCTAACCTAGAATTTTATCGGGTTTTGTAATATCCCCCTCATGCTTCTAAACTCCAGTGAATACAATCCTAACCAACTCAATCTCTCCTCAAACGTTGGTCCTGTCATCCCACGAATCAATGTGGTAAACCTTTGCTGCACTCCCTGTATAGGAAGAACGTGTTCCTCAGATCAGCTGACCAAAACTACACACAATATTCCAAGTGTGGCCTCACCAGTGCCCTGTATGATTGCAGTAACACTCCCATGTTCCTGTCCTCAAATGCTGCCACTATTAAGGCCAAAATACAGTGTGCCGCCTTTACTGCCTGCTGCACCTGCGTGCGTGCTTTCAGTGACTGGTGCACGACGACACCCAGGTCTCACTGAACATTGCCCTCTCTCAATTTACAATCATTCAAACAATAACCTGCCTTCCTATTTTTGCTACCAAAGCGGATAACCTTACATTTATCCACATTATACCATATCTGCCATGCATTTGCCCATTCACTCAGCTTGTCCAAATCACACTGGAACGTCTCTGCATTCTTCTCACAGCTCACCCTTCCACCCACCTTTGTGGCATGTGCAAATTTTATTTGATTCCCTGAACTTAATCACTAACATATGTTGTGGCTAGCTAGTGTCTTAGTGCCAATCCCAGTGGTACCCTCCGGTACCCCCCTCCCCGTCACTACCTGCCATTCATAAAAAGACCCATTTATTCCTACTCTTCACTTGTTGTTACATTCTACCACTGTTTTCCATGTGCTGTGCTATAAAATTCATGGTAATGGACTCTCGTGTCTTCCTCAAAACTGACATCAGACTCACATGTCTATAATTCACTGTTTTATCTCTACCTTTCTTTTTAAAGAGAGGGATTACCTTAGCTACCTTCCAATCTAAGAATTGTTCCAAAGTCTAAAGCATCTTGGAAGATAACAAACAATGCATCCACTATTTCTAGTGCTACTTTCTTAAGTACTCTGGGGATATTAGCTTATCAGGCCCTGGTGATGTATCAGCCTTCAATCCTATTAATTTCTCCAACACCATTGCTGTATTAATACAGATTTGCTTCAGTTTTGAAAGTAAATATAGAAAAAAAAAATCAATAAAAAGAGGATAACTCGAGGGTATCAGTATAAATAGATGCCAAGTAATCCAATAGGGAATTGAAAAGAAACTTCTTAAATAGTGGTGAGAATTTGGAACTACGCAATAGGGAGTGGTCAAAGTGAATATTGTAGATGCTTTTAAGGGCTAGTTAGACAGGCACAAGGGAGATGCAAAAAGGTGAGAGGAGGCTCAGGTGGAGAATCAAGACCAGCATAGACCAGTAGGGCCAAATGGCCTGTTTCGATTATGTATATTCTGTGTAATTTTCTGTGACTTGCTGGTAAGAAATCCTGTACTGCATTCTATACACAATGTATTCATTGTGTTAACTAACGTGATTGACCTTTTGGATTAAGCTCTATTACTATTGCTATAGTACTTTTTTGGTCTTGCTATTATTGTAGATGTTGTACAAAAACTCTGTGTTTTAGCAGTGCAAATGTAGTGCAGAATTATGCAGCAATTCAGTGATTCTGCTTCAACCATTTCTTATAAATGCTGGCCTTACCTTAGACTGGGACTATAAACTCCATGTGAATTGTTCAGATTATAAATGTGCTAAAATCACAGCCTTAGGTATCTAAACATAGCAAATAATACATTTCTTGCTTAATAATACACTAGTTTATCTCTGCTAATGCTCAATTTTTCACATTTAATTTTGTTCAGTAATTTAACTAAACTTTCAATTTGTTAAATTCTCACGTTATCAATGCTAAATTGAAATGTTCAATCAATTTTAAGCTGAAACCTTTAGGCACAGAAAGACCCAAAGCCTTTTTGGTATTTTCTTCCTTTCTGAGGCTTGCACTGTATTTTCTATATTTTCATGCTTTATTTATAGTGACATCAGGATCCATTGCACTAAAAAAAGAAAATTCCTCTGTTGCATTTTTCTTTGAAAATGTCATTTCATGCTGGACAGCATTTTTCTCAGCCCCTGATTCCCACAGTTTCTTTGCAAGGTTTTATGCACAAGTGTGAGCTAATGAGATTCTCAGGAAAATCAAAGCAAGTTTCCACCCAAATCGATGTAAAAACAAGTGCAACTCCTTCAGAATAAGTCAAACTGAGGCAGTTCAAACACTTGTATTAGTAAATGCCAGTTCAATTGTTCAATATGCCTATAATATTAATAAGATAATGATATAAACAAAATACTGAAAATGATAAGCAGGTCTAGTTGCATTTATATAGCACTTTTAATATAATAATTTTGGAACATAGGAGCAGGAGTAGGCCTTTCAGCCCTTCGAGCCAGTTCCACCATTCAGTAAGATCATGGCTGATCTGTGGCCTAACTCCATATACCTGCCTTTGGCTATATCTCCTAATAACTTTCCTTAGCAAAAATTTATCTACCTCAGATTTAAAATTAAAAACTGATCTAGCATCTACGGCCATTAGTGGAAGAGAGTTCCAAACATCTACCACCCTTTGTGTACAGAAGTGCTTCCTAACATTTCTCGTGAGCAGTGTGGCCCTAATTCTCAGATTATGTACTCTAGTCCTAGAATCCCCAACCAGTGGACATAGTTTATCTTTATTTACCCTGTCTTTTCCTGTTAATATCTCAAAGACTTTGATCAGATTATCCTTTAACCTATTAAATTGTAGAGAAAACAGGCCTAATTTGTGTAATCTCTCCTCGTAATCCCTGAGGTCCAGGTATAATTCTTGTAAAACCTAGGGTATAGTCCCCCACCGAGGACAATATATCCTTATTTAATCAATATTTAATCTATCAATATCCCTTTGTAATTTTGTTTTCATTTACACTCTCTACAACACTGCCTAACTTGTGTCATCAGCAAACTTGAATATATGGCTTTCTGAGTTATCCAAGTCATGAATGCATAATATGAATTCCTAACCTCAGGAGTGTTGTTTAAGAAAATGTAACAGTAAACTACATGACACTTTAAGATAGGTGGCCCAAAAAAATGTCACAGAGACAGAGGAGAGAGAAATGAATTCTTTAAGGAGGGAATCCCAATGCTTAAGGGACAAAAGTAGAAATTGCTGGAAAAGCTCAGCAGATCTAACAGCATCTGTGGAGAGAAATCAGAGTTAACATTTCGGGTCGAGTGACCCTTCCTCAGAGCTCACTGTTTAAGGCCTTGGCAGCAGAAGACACATCTGTTTGTAACATGGCAGTTAAAATCAAGGTTGCTCAAGAGACCAGAATTACATGACCATGTTTCTGGAAGGTTGCAGGTCTGGAGGAGATTACAAATATGGGAAAGGCAACATCATGGGACAATTTGAAGACAGATGAGAATTTTAAAATTAAAATGTTGCTTAACCAGGAGCCAATGTGGGTCTACAAGTGCATAAATGATGGGTGAACAGAACTTCATGTTAGTTTGGGCACAGTCAGCAGAGTTTTAGATTATCTCAGGCTTAGATTTAGAGTGTGGAAGTGAGGGAACCTGCCTGGATTGTGTTAACTTCATTGGAATAATGTGGAGGCCAAAAGCAAAGGTTAGAGTGGGATGGTTCTGTGGACACTTGACGAATCGTAGAATCCCTACAGTGTGTAATGCGTAAACAAGCCATTCGGCTCAACAAGTCCACACTGTAGGGATTCTCTGACTAGCATCCCACCTTGACCCAAACTCTACCCTGTCCCTGTAATCCTGCATTTTCCAAGGCTAACACACCCAGCCTACACACTCCTGAGCACTGTGGGTAATTTAGCACGGCCAATCCACCTAACTGCACATCTTTGGACTGTGGGAGGAAACTGAAGCATCGGGCAGAAACCCACCGGGAGAATATCTGTGTGGAGTTCACCCAAAGGTGGAATCGAACCTGGGTCCCTGGCACTGTGAGGCAGCAGTGCTAACCACTGAGCCACCGTACCAGTGAGGGTTAAATTTCAAATCTTGTGGGTCTTCATTGGAACTGGAAGTTTTAAATGACTTTTTTATATATAAAAAGTCCAATGCATTGGAAAAAGTAGCAGGAAGTAAACAGAGTATGTTCTGTAATTCAGTTTTGTGGAATAGCAATAGTTAAATGACAGATCGGATAATTTCATACAATGAAAGAATAATAAACAGTGAAATTAGAAAATAACAATGACATGGATGATGTGTAAATCTTTACAGTAAGTAAGTAGAGGGAAAGAAATGTATGGAGAGTATGTTGAGAAGATTTTAGCAGCCAGGGTAGTGCTAGAAATAAAATCATTGCTACACTTGTGCTGGACAAGTATGGGACCCCATTCTGGGAAGCATTGATGCTGTTTGAGAGAACTGAAAACTATGGTTAGGCTTAGTTATTCGAACCAAAAGGGTGGTAAATTATCTGGTTGGAAAATAAGGTGCAGGAAGCCAAAACAGGTCAATATAGGAGTGTGGTAGATAATCTGAGTGGATCACGCATACAGACAGAATTGAAATGTTCAATGCCATCTGCATTTACCATCCTAATGTAAAGGGGATCAGTAATTGAGCACAGTATATTTAGTTGTCATTTTAAGAAAAAAAAGTACCAATTGAAACTCTCTGCCTGGTGGGCGTCTTTGGCTGTCTGCATGGTCATGTATGAAGTGAAAGGGCTAGTGTTTCATCTGCATTTATACCAGAAGATAGTCGAAGAAGGAAGTGATGTTGGGAGAAGTGGAAGAAGGTGTGGGGCTGATGGTGAAGTGGGTCTGGTGACCATGGAAAGCACAGTCCTGCAGAATGCTGGGAGGGGAAGAAAGGGTACATTAGGTAAGTGGGCTAGTGACAAAGATGGTGGGCAATGTTCTTTGAAAGCAGAAGAACCTAGCAAGGAGAATGATTGAGAAATGTGGGAATGGAACAGACATAGTCATGTGGTCTACAATGGAGAGGAATCTTTGACGAAACAAGTCTTTTGAAGGTGACATTGCCTGAGTTAGTGGGACAGGAACTGGGAATACAGATTGAAGTCCTTATGGAATGACATGTTTTTGTGATAGATGCTGTTTCAAGCAGGTTCAGTATTAGGTCCTTTTGCATTTTGCAGCTCATATCAATGATGTGAACTTAAATTTAGAGGACATAATCAGAGGAAGATGGTTGGAAGCTATCAGTGGAGTGGGTCAGGTAGACAGTGGGAAATGGAAATCAGTCCAGAGAATTGTGAGATGATGTATTTAAAGATGACAAACAAGGCAAGACAAAACGCAATAAATGGTATGAAATTGCCTGTGCCTAGAAATAGAGAAGCCGTAAAAGTGATAGTAGTCAGTGATGGACCTTGCAAAAATAAGGAACGGATGGAAATTAGAAACAGAATTTATGAAATTCTCAGTTGAAGGTGAGAACAGAAAGCAGCACTGACTGATGTTTGACATATTGGGGAGGTTGTCTTGCATCGGTCCTTGCTATCTGGTTTTAATAGGATATGCAGTACTTCTTTGCTCTAGCCCAATTTGAGGTCTCACTACAACATCTTTCATTTGGAGGAAGTTAGCAAAATTAAAAACCATGTTGAAATGAGTGAACACACTCAGCCGTAAGAAAGAAGACAGTGACGGTGAATGGAAATTCGTTGGACTGCTATTCATAGAAAGAGCAGAGGACCACAGGTCCAACTTCTTGTGGAGGGGTGTGGAAAACAACTGACAGAATAGCCATAGTGAAATGGCTATTAAGACCAAGAAACTGGAATTGATATAAATAGTGGAGACCCTCCACTTCAATAGCAGACCTTCTTTCCACATCCTTTTTCACTGTCAGTGTTAACTTGTAAGACTTTCTAGTTGTGACAGAGGGTTCAAAGACCAGAAAACTTAACGCAGGCTCTTCTCCACAAAGTTTGCTGGAGTTGAATATTTCTGGAAATTTGTACATTTTTCGTTTACAGTTTCTGCAGTGTCCTGACACTGTCTCGATGCTTTTAATTTCTAAAAAAAAAGGTTGTCCGGAGATTGCCACAGTTCTGTATGTAGAATTTTGTTGTGAGCGATTTTGGTGCCACACTTTCCATAAATAAATTATTGGCTGTAAATTTCTTGAGCTCTCTTGAGGTTGTGAAAGGCACTATATAAAAGGGCGAGACTTTCTTTGAAGTTTGGTTTCTGATTTGATGTAAATATAAATCTTGCTTACAGTGGCGAGCACAACCTCTTCACCAGCACTCTTGGGAATTAAGGATCAACGCTCCAACTATGAAAAGACAAAGACGTCTATGCAATATTACAACAGCCCTGGTGACAATATGACACATACAAATTTAACTATAGGTAACGAATGGCGCAATTACAATTTTGTTTATAAAGTTGGACATTTTTTGATGTTCAAATATGTCATTCTTCTAGATTGGCCTTTTCCTTGATAGGGATAGATGAGGAAGCATTTAGTCTGTAAATTGAGGTTGATGTCTACAAATTAGAGTTCTACAAATCTTTCTTCATAATATTTGAAAAAGTGCATTATATGACAGTTCAAATGTCATTAAATGCAGTATAGTTAAATTTCATTCACTACAATATGTGGCAGTCCGAGGTGCCTCATTGGATTTACAATATCAGCTACATGAGGGGCTGCCCATCAATGTACTTTATAGCATGGCCTTAATCTGGAGCTAAGGAGCCTACATGGAATCTTTGCTGCAGTTGCTCCAACCTTCAGCACATCCCTTACCATATAGTCCTGGACCTTGAAATGCAGCTGTCCATGTGGTCTGTGACTCACCTAAGAGTCACTATGTTGACTTCATGTGTAGACAACATTTTAGCACTGGTGCAAAGTCATACAGCAATGCTTATGTGATTCATCATAACAAGGAAACTAGAGGTATATATTGTGGTATTGTAGAATCCAACTATTAAGACAAGCTATTATATACAAACATTGCAATCATAGGCATACGAGTGCCTGCAATAACATTAAGCTGTTAGATTTTAAGAGTTGGGCTTATAGTAACACATCATGCTTCAAGTGATCTGAAGTTAGATGAGGTATGCTATCTCAGGTCATATTCTATTATACAGTGATGACGTTATGAACATCTTCCTTAAAGGTAGATAGACCATGAAACATGACAAAGTAAAACAATTTCACACTGATGCTCCAATTAGAATGTATGATGTATATCTTCTATTTGTTTTGCCAAAGACTCTTTATAAACCTGCTTAAAAATTTTATTTACTCGTTTACCTCCATTTTCATGAGGCATTTGTGGTTCAGAGAATTTGAAACTGAGTGGTAGTGTTTACTGGCCTGGTTGTCCATTTTAGGGTGCTCACTTTTGTTGTCAGCACATGGCAGGAAACCTTTTATAATATCTTGTCATTTGTACATAATCTTATCTAATTTCTCCAACAGTTTATGTTCGGACTTGTTCACTCTTCTTTACACTTTTCAATGTAAATGCATAACACTTCTTTGCATAACTGACTTTTTGTCCTAATATAGGTTAATATTGTTATTACTCAATCATCACTAGGTTTATCATTGCTGTTGCCAATCTATTTGCATCTAAAATTATAAATTCATAATTTAAGTTCATAGTGGCAATGCATTTTTTTTTATTTTCAAGTGTTTACTTTCCCGTGGTTTAATTTTCTTTCTAACACATACTCTTTTGGCTAGTAATTGTAGACACAACTGTAAAATATCCCTGTTCCCTATTAATCGAAATGTATTGTTGTGTAGGTTCCAGTAAACCGTCACCTATTTACATAGGTTCCTATTCTTCACCAGCAAGAGAGGAATCTAGACGACTTCATGTAAGTATTGAATACTTCTAAGAAAAAAGAAGTTAAATATTTTGACATCTGAGCATTCCATTATCTTGAAGCAGTATAATACAAAGTACTAGACAGAAAATTGAAAGTACACTGATCCTTGCACCTGTAATTTAGGTTCAACAGTTTAAAAAAAGACAAGTGTTGTATCTCTGTTGCAGTTGGGTCTTTTATGAATTGAGTTTATGCAGTACCTGTCTATTTCTGAGTAAATATTTTGACCAATAGAAATAATCTGATGTTAAGAATTTCAAGAAATATTTTGTAAATACATTTGTAAGTTAGGATCTGAAGTAAATTTGCTGAAAAGTATCAGTTGAGTACTCTATTGTATCTGAGCTTTCTCTGGTATCCAGGAATTTGTGACAAGCTTAGAATCATAGAATCCCTACAATGTGGAAACAGGCCCGTCAGCCTGACAAGTCCGCACCGAACCTCGGAGCGTCTTGCCCAGACCCATCCCCCATTACCCATCTAATCTACACATCCCTGAACACGATGGGCAATTTAGCATGGCCGATTCATCTAACCTGCACATCTTTGGACTGTGGGGGGAAACTGGACCACCCGGAGGAAACCCACGCAGACACGGGGCGAATGTGCAAACTCCACACAGTTGCCCGAGAGTGGAGTCAAACCTGGGTTGCTGGCACTGAGACAACAGTGCTAACCACTGAGCCACTGTGCTACCCCCATTATTGAATGCAATCTTCATTTTCAGCCATCAAGTGCATTAGATTTGACTTGTTTACCCCATGGTTTGGTGAACGAGAAGAATTGTGAATTTCAGTTTTGTCACTTATTTTTAATCATTTGGTTGTACAGACTTGAGTATTACTGAGAAATGACACATTTTGTCAAAGCTATTCATCTCGTGCTCATCAGGGCAACTTGCAAGAATTACCCAAGACAAAGGAAAACAACGTTTTATTGTATGAGAGGGAAAATGCTGATTGTTTGGCAAGTGAACTCTGATTAATGAAGGTGTTGCCATGGAAAATGCACCAGTTAGTGATGACTGACAGTTAACTACAAGCCTTGTTTAAATTTTAAACCAGGCATGTTGACTCTGGCATTGCCCTGAGAAGGAATTAAGTGAATGGCTATCACCTGGTTTGTTGAGTTGAAACAGGAACAACACATGTATATGTTCTTCCTGTCTGCGAAGAAATGGACCCTGTGTGTTAATTTATGCAGCCTACAGTACATACAAATGCACCATACTGTAAGCCCAACTAAATTGGTTATCAGCATAATTCTTTGTACATTCAAGATTATTTAGCAAATTTTGTCCAACTGCAGAATCCTATCCAATATTGGACACTTGAGTTTTCCAAGCATGGACTGCAAGGTACATCTCAAATACATGTAGATTGTATTAAATAGCATTTCCCATTAACTGTTCACACCAAGCCAGGTACTAAATGCACCCAACCAACACATGCTTGCGAGTTAATAGAACATAATTGAATAAACTTCATATACAACAGGTCTACAGGGACACATCTGATCAGCTTTTAATTCACTTTTTAAGGTTTTTTGCCAATATTAAGTATATAATAGTGTTATACTAGTATCTTATTTATGTGCATCTATTAATTCTTCCTTATTAACTTGACCTTGTTACAGCATCCACAGATGTATTATGGCCAAGAAGAATCAATCAGAAGAAATTATGATGCATATAGATTGTATATGCAGTCTCCACACTCTTATGATGACCCCTATTTTGATGACCAAATTCATTATCCAACAGCCACTGATTATACATCACAACATGGACTAAAAACATCAACTAACTATGTGGATTTATATTCTGCTACACGGCCATCTTACAGAGCAGACCAATACCCAGGATCCCCAGATTCCTGGGTTTAACACTTGGAAAAATAAAAGAACAATGTCTTGTTGCTCTGTTTCTGATTGTAAGTGATCATCGATGTAAGAAATTTCTAGTGGAGACAATGTGAATGTAACCTTTAGGAAGGAATTCAGGATGTGTTTTTAACAAGGAAATCATGGAAGCAAATGCGAAGGAAGATTGATGGGAGAGTCTTTAACTCTGCATAGATGTTAGATTTCTTATGTGTAACTCTTGTAGTTTGGTGGAGGTGTAGGCCATGTGATGAAAGGTTTGTGGTGGAAGAAAATAATTGGAGAAGGTGCGGGCCAAATAAAATGTGAAACTTCTGTGAATAGTCTCACTCTGTTGGTTTGTACAGACATTTTAAATATATACACTGTTTTGTTTAACTAAAATAATGAGCCTTCAAATTATGTATTTCATTTCCCCTTGTAAATTTGCTTTCTTCGGTGTAAATATGGAAATGCCATATGAACAAGGGTAGCTGTTATTTCAGAAAGCAGTGTCTTATATTGAAATTAAATTTAAAAATCTAAGTGTCATACAAGAGATAAAATATTCTAAATGAAAATAAGTCACATTTTGTTTTAAAGGAGTTTTGTAATTTCAAAGAACATGCTTTTCCCAGTGAACTGGATACTTATTTTTCCATTCCCATTCTGTGGCTAGTTTCACTGCCATTTGCGATATGCATTTATAAATAAATGTGATCATTTCATTAACTGACGTTTTGTGCTCAAGTTTCTGCTTTTTTGGTAAAATTCCAGGTAGAATTGGTATAGCTGGTATCTAGATGGGCATGTTTATTAATTTGGTGCAAAAGCCTATCTTAAAACCCAACCAGCCTTTTATTTTTATGACAGTAAAGTGCTATGCATGATACATGTTGAGGCCAAGTGTAAAATATATAGAGAAGAGGTTGAGTTCTTTCTTTCCTATTACTGCTCTTTATGCATTAGCACTCATTCCTGTACTTTTCACCCACCATTGGTAATTAATACATTGCAACTATGACTGTGATTCCCTATTCATTAATTTTCAAATTCCTTTTTAAAGAAGTCATCAAATAAACCCACCAACAGAGCAGGGTCAAAATTATTTTATTGTTGAGGGCCATTCTTCAAGATTTCTCAAGGGCTACCATTTAGTTTATTTGAGGGCTACTTTTTCATTCTCACTAATTCCTTCATTAGGCAAGGCACAGTCATGCATTTGTGTTGCATGGAGTATTTGAAATCAGAAACAGAATTGTAAGAATTCTTTATATTCCTCAACAATTATCAGCTTTCCATTAAACTTGAAACTACAACACACAAGGAAAGCTTAACTTTCCTGGATGCCACAGTATTTAAATTGGCTCAAGACAACAAGCATTAGTTAGCAGATAACACAGTGTGGAGCCAGAGGAATATAGCAGGCCAGGCAGCATCAGAGGAACAAGAAAATTGACGTTTCAGGTCAGGACCCTTCTTCAGAAATGGGGAAGGGGAAAAAGAGCTCAGAAATAAATAGAGAGAGGAGGGGTGGGGCTGGGTAAAGTAGGTGGGATGGTGATAGGTGAGTGCAGGTAGGGAGTGGTGGGGATTGGTCAGTGAGGTGGGAGGGGTGGATAAGTGGGAGAGAAGATGGGCAGGTTGTGTCAGGTCAGGGAGGAAAGGGATGAGAGGGAGGGTTGGTCATGGAATGAGGCCGGGGGTGGAGAGATTTTGAAACTGGTAAAATCCACATTTAGACCTTTGGGCTGTAGGGTCCCAAGGTGGAATATGAGGTGCTGCTCCTCCATTTCTTAATCAGTTTCCAATGATTTTCATGCAGTGTTATCTCCAGCTGATTTTAAAATGTGAAGATAATATTGATGGTCCTTGTATGTCCGAAAAACAAACAAGTATTTCCCAATGTATTTAAACTTGTAAACTTGTCGCAAGGTGACACATCAACCTGACAACTGAAAAGGATTGTTTGTGCATGGGAATTTGAAGAAACCGGTAATATAGGCCTTTCTTCAACAGGAGCATAAAATGTACTCAAGGTGGTGCTGGTGAGGGCCAGTGTCACTAGCCTTCAGATCTGCTTCAATCTATCCAGACAAGAAGGTTTACATGAATGAGACCGATGCAGACGGGGTGACCGCTTTACAGTAAATTTCTGCAATGTCCAAAGGAATGACCCCAACCTTCCAGTTGCTTGCCATCTTAATGAACCATCTTGCTGTCATGCTAGCCTTTGCAATGCTATGGACCTGCTGCAATGTACCAGTGAAGCATGATGCAAGCTCGAGAAACAACACTGATTTCCTGTTTAGGCACTTTACAGCCTGTAAAACTCAATATTGAGTTCTGTAGCTTCAGAAAGGAGCCACCTCATGTCTGTTTTCCATTTTTCTATTATTCTCTCCCACCTCCCCATACCCCCCCACAGTTTTGCCTTATCTGTATTATTCTTCTCCTTTGTGAAGAAAGAGACAAAGTATTCATTAAGACCCCATCCACATCTTCTGTATCCACAAGTTACCTCGTACCTCTTCAATAGGTCCTACTCTTTCTTTAGTTATCCGCTTGTTCTGAATGTATTGATCAAATATCTTTGATTTTTCCTGATTTGACATGCCAGTGTTTTTGATATCCACTGTTTTCCTACTTTTTTCACTCATACCTGTACTTTATATACACCTTTTGGCTTGCTTCAGTTTTAATCTTTTTTTATGACTGTCATAAGCTTTCTTTTTCTGCTTAATCTTACTTTGTACACGTCTGCATAACAAGGAGTCTCTAGATTTGGTATTTCTGGTTTTATTCAAGTTTTTGGGGACTGTTTATGCTGCTCTGTAAAATTTTGCTTTTGAATGTCTCCCACTGATTTGCCTTCAACGTGTGTCCAGTCCATCTTCACTGGATCACCTCTTTTTAAAATCTGTCTTCCCCTAATTTAGAACTTTTACTCCTAGAGTGTTTCTGGCCTTTTGCATAATCTAATTATGTTATGGTCCTAATCTCCGAAAAAGCCACCTATTGCGACTTGATCCACTTGCCGAGCTTCATTTCGTCAGACTAAAGCTCGAATTGTGCTGCCTGTTGTTGGGTTTATGATGTGCTGGCTGTAGAAGTTCTCTTGAATGCTGTTGCAAAATTTTGTGCATATGTGCCGTTTGCACTGTTGATACTGTTTGCACTGTATCCTTGTTGATATTAGAGTATTTAAGTTATCAGTTGTTATTGCTTTATGTTGAAATAATTGAATATGCCATCTGATTATGTATTATAATGGATACTTAGTGAACAGCATAGTTATACTGCTCTTATAGTACTAATAAAAAATAATTTGCAATTCTACAGTACTCCTTTTTGCAAAAGCATATCTCAAAGCAATGGATACTGATTGGAAGGAGAAAGATATTTTAAAAAGAGAGGCTAGATTAGGAAATGAAAGGCATAATAGAATAAAAAATATTTTTGTGTTTTTTAAAGTGGAGAGGCCAGCCAAACTGTACACTGCAAATCAGTAGTAGCTAAATGGCATTCAACAATAGGGTAGGGGCAAATTACTGTAGATGCTGGCATCTGTACAGAAAATAACAAATGCTGCAGATCACAGCGGGTCAGGCAGCATCCATGGAAAGAGAGCAAGCTAATGTTTTGATTCTAGATGACTCATCAGCTCTGATGCAGGAATTTGAAAATTAGGTCAACATTTATCTCCCTATGACAGAAGAGCCACTGGAGCTTAAAGGAGGTATTTGATGGGAGACAAGTGACAATGAGTGTTGATATTAAATGAGTTTAAGTTTGTGAAGGAGTATGGAAAGGAGGCTGACCAGAGATAGTTTAAATCTTGAACTTTTTTTTTTAAGTGGAGACAGGAACAAAACGTGTCTGTCTTTTTAACCATGTTAAACAAGAAAAAAAGTAATATTTCTGTCATTTTAAATCAAATTATTACATTGCCTTGGAGTGCCAAATTAAGAAAAGATATTTACAGTGAATGGTAATTAATTTATTACAGAATTATAAAATGATGCAATACAGAAATAAGCTGTTCCGAAGAGGAGTCACTGGACTTGAAAAGTTAACTCTGCTTTCTGTCCACAGATGCTGTCAGACTTACTGAGTTTCTCCTTCAATTTCTGTTTTTGTTACAGAAAGAAGCCATTTTATCTGTGCCAACCTTTTGAAAGAATTCTAATTACTCCAACTCCCTGCAAAAAAATCCACTTCAAATATCGATCCAGATCATTTTTGAACATTTTTACTGAATCTGCAGTGCATTCCAGATGTTAACAATTCCTTGCAGCAGGGGGGAAAATAGCTTAATTATGTAGAGTCAAATTTCTTACCAGTCTTCATGATACTTGTACATTAAATTATTGATATGTTCCTCCTCTAACCTGTGCTTTATCCAGACCAGAACACTCCAGTTAATGGAAAAATTATATCTTCTTCCAGGAAGTACAAGTACAAATTATTTTGAAGGTTGTGGCAGTAAATAAACAATGAGGTGAAGAGAAATTTAAAAACACAAATGGTTAAAAAGTAACCTTCAGGGTCAGAAATCACGCACAGTGAATTCAATTGTATAGGCTATTTTTCAGGGCCTGAATTGAAAGAGAGAGAAATGGTTCTAGCATTCTGGTCTCCCAATTCTCTGTCTCCAGTCTTTCCCCCACCTAACTCAGAACTGTTGCCATGAATTCAACTTTTGTCTCCTTTCAAATGCAACAACAACGGACATCTTGAAGCAGTGACGAAGATAGGAGCAACAGGTGTGAAGAATGTTAAGTGCCTTCTAATTTCAACAAACTACTGCCCACTGATCTGACCTGGATGATCCACTTGCACAGCTCTTACTCAGTGGACCCAGCTCTCAAAATGAGTCACTCTGGCACCATTGACTATTGTCTGCCTCGTCATCAAGCAGCAAATCCTTGCTGATACCTGGTGTTTAGGGCCAGAGTCAGAGCCCCGCTCTAGATTATGGATCTGTCCAAGCAGCTCAGCAATTGAGAGAGCAGGTATAGATATTAGCCCACGTTCAAGATGGTGTCTCTGATAACCAGTCCTGACATCACGAACAGCTCTGGTCACACTATTCCACATCACCATATGATGACTTCACATGTAAGAGCTGGCATTCCAACCTCCAATATTGGTCCATACAGTTCAGAGGAGGAACAGGATGTTAACAAATGTAAAGTTTCAAACAATTGCTTAATACTTGCATGCAATGTGAGCATCACTGGCTCAGTCAGCATTTGTTATTCATCTCCAATTGCCCCGGAAAGATGTTGGCAAGGCACCTTCATGAACCCCTGCAATCCTTGGTGTATATGTACCCACAGTGTTTGAAAGGGCGTTCCAGAAATTAGTCTCAGCAAAGAAACATTATAATTTCAAGTCAAGATGGCACTTGACCAGGAGGAGAACTTCCAGGTGATGGTATAGAATCATACAGTACAGAAGAGGCCCTTCAGCCCATACAGTCTGTATTGCCAAAAGTACACTACTACCTACAATAGTTGCACTTTCCTGCATCAAGCCCATAGTCATGTTCCTACAGTCCTTGTAATACGAATTCACAGAGATGGTGGGTTTCAAAAGAGCCTTGATGAGTTTTTGCAGGGAATCTGTCATTGGTACACATTGTTGTCACTGTACATTGCTGGTGAAGGGAGTGAATACTTAATGTGATAGAACAGGGGCTGATCAGGTGGGCTGCTTTGTCCTGGAAGGTTTTGAGCTTCAGGTGTTGTTGGAAGCCCGCATCCAGGCAAATAGAAAATATTCCATTACACGTAAGTTGTTGTAGATGGTGGATGGATTTTGGGGAGTTGGGAGCTGAATAACTCATCACAGCCTTTCACCTGCTGTTGTAAAAGCATTAGCTATATGTATATATACTGGTTAAGTTTCTGGTCATCAGTAACTCCCAGGATGTTGATGGTGTTGTGTTCAGCCATGGTAATCCTGTTGAATGTCAAGGGAATTTGGTTACATTCTCTGGTTGGAGATGATCATTGCCTGGCACTTGTTCGGTGCAAATGTTAGTTGCCGTTTATCAGCCAAGCCTGAAATGTTATCCATGTCTTGTTACATATGGAGACAGATTGTTTCATTACTCCCTGTCAAAATCCTGAGGCTTCAAAGCCACCTGACAAAATTGCAAGTGATGCTCAAGTTGACTTCAAAATAGCATCTTGTGTTAAATTCACGAGAGTTTTCATAGCTGCCATCATAACTTTGACAGAGATTCTATTTATGCATGTTAACAATCTTCTACTGAGATTATGGTGACAGATCAGAAGATTTTCAGTGCAAGTTCATCATGTTCAGGACAGGGGGGATAAAACCTAATGCTAGGAATTTTCCTTGGCCTTCCTGACCAGCTGCAAATGAGGTATAGATATAAACAATGTTTCTACTGATCTTCCACCACAGATAAAATGTTTACATAGAACATAGATCAGTACAGCACAGTACAGGCCCTTCGGCCCATGATGTTGTGCCGAACTTTTACCCTAAACCTAAGGTCTATCTAACCTCCACCCCTACCTTATACTATCATCCATATGCCTATCTAATAGCCGCTTAAATGCCCCTAATGAGGCTGACTCCACGAGCCTCTCCGGCAATGCATTCCACGCCCCTACCACTCTGAGTAAAGAACCTACCTCTGACATCTCCCCTATATCTACCTCCACTCACTTTAAAACTGTGTTCCCTCGTAATAGCTACCTCCCCCTAGGAAAAAAGTCTCTGGCTGTCTACTGTATCTATACCTCTGATCATTTTGTGCACCTCTATCAAGTCGCTTCTCATCCTTTGTCATTCTAAAAAGAAAGGCCCTAGTGCTCTCAACCTTTCCTCGTACGACCTTCCTGTTTAATCAGGAGAACCCTTAAGGAAAAGTCCCACAGAATAGTTGGAACTTTCAATACTGTTCAATTGGTCACTTGCATAATCCTTGTATGTTATTAGGCAAGAAATATTTACATTTCAAAACTGTACCAGAATCTGGGATGAAGTTCTACTATTTAAGAAAGACGGTAAGGAAAAGCCAGGAACTATAGACTGGTGAGCCTGACATCAGTGGTGGACAAGTTGTTGGAAAGGATTCTGAAGGACAGCATTTATGTGTAGTTGGAAAGGTAAGGACTGATTTAGGATGGTCAAGATGGCTTTGTATATGGGAAGTCGTGTCTCACTAACTTGATTGAGTTTTTTGAAGAAGTAACAAAGAGAATCGATATAGGCAGAGTAATACACGTAATCTATATGGACCTCACTAAGGCATTCGACAAGGTTCTGCACAGTTAACAAGGTTAGATCACATAGAATACAGGGAAAACTAGCCATTTGGATGCAGACTGGCTCGAAGGTAGGAGACAGAGGGTGTGGTGGAGGGAATGCTTTTCAGACTGGAGGCTTGTGACCAGTGGTGTGCCACAAGGATCAATGCTAGGTCCACTGCTTTTGTCATTTATGTAAATACTTTGGATGTGAACATAGGAGGTGTGGTTAGTAAGTTTGCAGATGACACCAAAATTAGTAGTGTAGTGGACAGCAAGGAAGGTTACCTCAGAGTACAACAGGACCTTGATCAGATGGGCCAATGGGCTGAGGAGTGGCAGATGAAGTTTAATTTAGATAAATGTGAGATGTTGCATTTTAGCAGGGCAGGACTTATACACTTAATTGTAAGGTCCTAGGGAGTGTTGCTGAACAGAGCGCTCTCAAAGTGCAGGTTCATAGTTTCTTGAAAATGGAATCGCAGGTAGACAGGATAGTGAAGACGATGTTTGGTATGCTTGCCTTTATAGGTCAGTATATTGAGTATAGGAGTTGGGAGGTCATGTTTACAAGGATGTTGCCAGGATTGGAGGGTTTGGGCTATAGGGAGAGGCTGAAAGGGCTGGGACTATTTTCCCTGGAGTGTTGGAGGCTGAGGGGGTGACCTTCTGGAGGTTAATAAAATCATGAGGGGCATGGATAAGGTGAATAGCCAAGGTCTTTTTCCCAGAGTAGGAGAGTCCAAAACTAGACAGCACAGGTTTAAAAAGAGAGGGGAAAGATTTAAAAGTGAAGTAAGGGCAACTTTTTCACATGGAGGGTGGTGCGTGTTTGGAAAGAGCTCCCAGAGGAAGTGGTGGAGGCTGGTACAATTACAACATTTTAAGAGGCATTTGGATGGGTATGCAAATAAGCAGGGTTTAGATGGATATGGGCCAAATGGGACTAGATTAATATAGGATATCTGGTTGGCATGGATGAGTTGGACTGATGGGTCTGTTTCTATGCTGTACAGCTCTGACTCTATGAATGGACATTAATAGTGAAACAATTGAAATTGGGAATGCATGGAGGCAAGCAGTAGAAAGAAATATTTGTCTCAGAGGATTGTGGAACTGGAGTAAGTTAAAAGGGATGGGGAAGAGGGCAAGCTTCTGGAGGAATTTGAAAGAATGAAAGTTTTAAAATTAAGATTTGTATTACTGAGAGTCAAACAATGAGCATGGATGTGATGGATTAAAAGACTTGCTATGAGTTAAGACAGGGCAGCAAAGTTTGGGGTAACAAGTTTACAGGGTCTACTGCTGGGAACATATTGGATTAGTCAAATCTAGGGGTAGCAAAAGGCATGAATGTGGGTTCCAGCAGTGAATGAACTGAAACAGGGTGGGATTGGAAAAAAAGACTGTTGACCAAGAGGAAACTATACAAAAATATTGTGTCATGTGAGAACAGTGTCACTGAATACTACTTCTCTCACCCTAAGTGTTGTATTACTGTTAGACACCAACCAATTATCTGAAATGGTTACTCAGAGTTTCAGTAACATGGGGAACTTGCTGTTTGTAATGCCATTTCCCCTGACAATTAGTATCTAGCTTCAGGTAAACAGGTTGATGGCAGTAGATGGGCTGGATTTTCCAAGGGTGGCAATCTCACACAGATTGTCACTCCATCCCTGTCCTTTTTTTTTAAAAAACCCCAAAAGAAAACAGGACCTGGGGGAAGGTGGTTGATGGGTCAGGTCCTTGGTGGAGGTGTAGGTGAGTACAAGATCTAGTTGTCTAACTCCTGAGGAACCAGAGATAGTAGGAACTGCAGATGCTGGAGAATCTGAGATAACAAGGTGCAGAGCTGGATGAACACAGCAGGCC